CTCCCTCACACACACACTCTCTCTATCCCCCACTCTCTCTTACCACTCTCCAAGATAATCCCCTACCCCGTCTCCAGCCCAGAGGCGCCGGTAACCCACTGGTTAGGCTACTGGACCTGTAATCGTCAGATTGTCACTGGGGAAGGCACTGTACACGAGTATCCTATTTGGCTCGGTGCTTCCAGAGATAGACTTTAAACTCGGAGGTCCCGCCTCTTTTAAGTAACTTAATAGTGTTGAGAGGAGCGGTCAACCATTTCACCATTTTTTCACCTCTTTCTCTCTATCTCTCTCTCTCTCTCCCCCTCTCTCTCTCTCTCTTTCAATGTCTTTTGCTCCCTGTCTCTTCCCCATCTTTCTCCCCTCTCTCTCCCCTCTCTCTTCCCTTCCCTCTCTCCCTCCCCTTCCCTCTCTCCCTCCCCTTTCCTCTCTCCCTCCCCCTCTCTCCCCCCCTTCTCTCTCGCTCCCTCACTTTCTTTCCCCTTCCCTCTCACTCCCTCTCACTACCTCTCTATCCCTTCTCCCTCCTTCTCTCTCCCCCCACCCCCCATCTCTCACTCCAAACTAAAGTGACATTCCAGACTTCAGAGATCAAAACCCCGGAGGCCGGAACTCCTCTATGACGTCACGATACCTCCCCTGACGTCAAAGACTGAGGACTGGATCGTGCAACCTCCATCTCGCTACCCGACCAATGGGTGAGTACGGCAGTTTTTAGTTTAAAACACTTTTTAAAAAAAAGGTTTTTTCTTCATTGCGCCATGGCCTATTTAGGAGTGTACTTACTTTACTTTCCTTTTTTTCTTCCGCTTGTACCGGTGGGTGTCGCGGGGAGACACAGGCGTCTGTCTGCAGCAAGGCGAGTGGCCTGTTTGAGGGACATCCGTGATAAAAGAAAGCTTTGTATTATAATGGTGTTTTTTTCTACCTCCGATGTAAACCAAATCTGTTCAAAGAACTTTTTTACCTCTTTCCGTGTTTCCAACCCCTCTTCCTTTTTTATGATGTGATGTGGGCATATGGCCGAAAAAACTTACTTACTTACAACCCCTCGTCCACACACACACACACACACACACACA